CTAGCCATGTTCTTAAATAGCCTCGTCAAACCGAAACTTTCATATGAACGTCATGCATGGCGATAACAACGGAATGTCATGCATGGCGATAACAACGTTCAATTAATTTAAATTGAGTTTGAAATGCAGCAATGTAGTTTGCTTATTGTAAATATTAAATTTAATCTATTAGCTTGAAATTAAAACTAAAATAAAAGCTTCCGGAAAGACTTTTCATTTTTAAAATGCATTTTAAAACTTCGGTATCACATTACTTTGGAAAGCTGACGTTTTCAGTTGACATTAAATGGAAAGACTATATTGAAGCCATTGCTAGTTCAACAGTTAAGAAAGTGGGTTCACTGTGTCGTGCGAGACAATTTTTCCCTCCAAAATCTATCACATATATCTATAAGTCTACCATTCGTCCATGCTTAGAATATTGCTGTCGCATATGGCCCGGTGCCCTTGCTATTTACCTTAAGTTTCTTGATAAAATCAAAAGAAGAATCAGCAATATTAACGGTCCTAATCTGGCGCCCCGGCTTCAATTTATCATCACCGTATGGTTGCCTCTCTGTGCCTTTTTCTATAAATACTTTCATGGTAAGTGTTCGGATGAGGTCTTTACTATGGTATTGGATCAGTGTTTGCGGCTAACTAAATTATAGTTAAGACAGAAGAAGACCGTCCTTTGCACAATCCAAGCCTTGTGCCACATTTCTGTATTATACAGAATAAATATCGCTCTTTACTATGGTACCTAGAGTTTTTTTTTTTTTTAATTTAAGGGCAGTACTAGACTGGCGTCGAGATCGCATCAGTTTACAGTTGAGCTAGCTAGATGTAGCCTTAAGTTCTATGCTAATAGTTTTTCTCGCACTTCTCTCTTCCGGTTCAATGTTTTCCAGCCAACTTTAGTCTGAAAAAATTTAAATGCAATGTCAATCGCTAGCTACTGTCCCCATGATTACTCTTTCTCTTCCCGCTCATTAGTAATGCTTCTGTTACTAATTCTTCCACGCCCAGTAATACCATGTGTCTTAGTGACTTTACTGCCTTGCCCGAGGTGAAATCGACTAGAAAAAAAATAGGTACCTGATCTTTTGTGTACAGTACGTTTTAGTTAGAAAACCTTCATTGCAGCAGATAATCTAAAAAAAGAAAAAAAAAATTATCCACCCCCTCCAAAAAAAAAAAAAAAAAAAAAAAAAAAAAAAAATTTAAAAAAAATAAAAAATAAAAACGGGCGTACTGTTAAGATATATATCAAAAGGAGCAGTGTATAACAGAGGCTGCTGTGAAATAAATGCCGGTTCAATTTTTTAAAAATAAAGACAAAAATAACTTTGCATTTGAAGATGATCTGCTTGCTTTAACTGTTATCCCGAAGTCTTTATCAAGTATTTAAGGATTTGAAACATCAAGAATATAATTTTCTGATTAAGTCTCCCAGGATTCAAACAGCCAACACAAAATGCAGAGATAAAAATAAAATTAATTAAGGGAAATGAGACATCATACGAATGAGCAACTTAAACTTTTTTTTTTTTTTTTTACAAAGAGGTCTGCCGCTGGAAAATATTAAAAATGTGTGTGTGTGTGTGTTTTTATATATATATATATATATTTATTTAAAAAAAAAAAAAAGAAAAAAAAAAGGTAAATTAAAAGAAAATGATTTTACAAAAATGGGAGAGTGATGTGTGGGAAAGAGAAGTGTCCCCAAGTTCGTTTCCTTTGAAGTTAGTTTAGTTAAACGTAAGGACCCGCACTGTCTGACATTTAAAAAAAAAAAAAAAAAGTTAAATAAAAATGGGGGCCCCCGATCTCTTAAATGATGGCTCAAATAAAGAATCAAGATAACACGACCATTTAGCATTAGAAATCAAAAGGTAGGAAGAGAGATTGAGAGTACAATAGAAGAGTCATGCGGATGTCAAAATAAACAAAAAATAAAGATTCGATAAAATATTGAATCCAGAATCTTGTTAATTAACTGAAATAGCTAAATACAAAGTTGTCAGAGCAATGTAGGGTTAGGAAATGGCATAAAACATTCAGCTATTATTAATCAAGGAAATGAAAAGCTGTTTTAAAAATAAAAAAGTGAAACATTCGGGAATCCCCCCCACACACACACACAAATAAAGAAAAAGAGAGAGAGAGAGAGAGAAAAAAAGGACGAGAAAGGAAAAGATGAGAGAAAGAAAGGAAAAGACGTTTGCTTCCAGGCTTAAGGTGCTCCACTTTTATAATCAAGGACCGGATGCCTCTTGACTTATTTGAAGTGGGTTGATATTTTTTGGCCATGTAGCTGTAGAAATAGGGGCAAAGGAAGAGGTACTTCGGGTCAAAGGTAGCACGTCAGTGTTTGTACAATGGCCATTTAAAAATTAATCTCATTCCTGAACGTTATATCAAGGTCGATTATTTATTTTATTATTTAGTTACTTTTTTTTTTTTTTTTTCATAAATTTTACTTTTTTTTTCTTTTTCACCTGACTGCAACAGTTGATGAAGTGGGTAGGATTTTAATAGTTATATTTTTCTTATGAAGTTAATTTTTTTTATTTTTTGTCATTTTCGCTTATGTTTTTTTTTTTTTTTACTTTTATATATATAAAAATAAACAAAAAAAAACACTTCTCAGAGCTGTAACTTATTTTCATCGGATGTGTTTACAATTCCCAGTTATTACTTACAATATCTTTGTTTTAGCGATATTGAGCGATATATTACGAAAAAAAAATATTGTCCCATTTACATATCGATTGACACTTCTGCCAAGGATCAGTGCATTCTTCCTCGGCTTTGTGTGAAAAATGTCACACATATTCTTTTATACCAAATATAAATGCCGTCTTGAATAGTCATGCCGGTTGAAATTTTTCAACTTGGATAAGTGCACCGGTTCAAATAAGCGTTCCACGGGGAATGTTTGATACCTGGAACAAAATAATCGTGCCGTACGAAATAAGCGCCGTACCGGAATGAAATAATCAAAGTATTCCGGCCCTTGTATTTGGTACAAAGGAGTATGCACCCAATACGTGGAGATGATGAAAAGTTGTCAGTCTAACCACACGTCCAAAAATTTGAACGAACATTACAATTTGTTCTGAATTCCTTCTTTATCCGGCTAAGAACTTTTCAGCACACACTACACACGCGTGCGTGAATAAATTAATAACCGTTCAAGCGATATTTGATTTTTTTAAATATAATTTCGTCATCATAAAATATAATTTTGTAAAGAATTTTATAAAACAAACACAGCAAATAGACCAACGTTCATATAATTCGGGTAAAGGAGCTACCGTAGTCAGGCATGAACAAAGACAAAAGTACTGCATCTAAATCTTCGTATATTTTATGGTAAATGGTTTTTCTCATCATTTTGGGATAGCTTTGGGCAAAAAAGAATGAAAACCGTTTATTTGCTATAAAATATTTTCAGGATGATGCCCAGGACTGCAATATTTGACTACGGTAGACCTAATGGTATTGCTCAGAAGCCGAGGTCGCATTATACACAAGTTATATGAAAAATCAGGTTTTTCACAAAAAAACTCAGGGGTCGCACTATTTATGAAGTAGGCTTAGACACGAATATATACGGCAATTACCTAGAGCCGGGATCGGCAACCTGTCGGAGGGAAAGGACCAGAAAGCTATGCAGTGTATCGGAGGAGGGTCATGATATCAAATGTACGAGAATAAATTTTCTCCACTTCAGACTTCTCCGTCCAGAACTTGGTCTGGAGGTTTAAAAAAAAGAAAAAAAAAACAGCGAAGTTAATGTTATATTATTTAAACAAGGTTCCTTATTTTACTGCAGGAATAACAGAAAAATGCAAATTCTTTAATACAAACGAAATAAAGTTAGAAATAGCAAACTGTTTAACGAGAAACTTGTTTCTGCTTATTGTTCGATAACTTCCCCACATCAGGTGAAATATTTGACGATGACGGGAGCAAAACATCACCCAAGTTGCTCATCACCCAGTATTAGTATATTTCATTTTAGAAAAAAAGTTGTTCACAAGCATATGTACTTGCAAATAACGATACCATCATTTTTACATTATTCAATAGGCTATTCTATTTTCCGTTGGGCAAAACATTTCTTGCAGAAATCAGCAGTAGATTCGGAATTAAATTTGGATTTTAAAAATTCGTCGCATTGTAAATCGATTAACTACAACCGATATTTTTCTGCCACTTGCTCTACAAATTAATTAGTGTTAAGTTGGCGGGCCGGACAAAAATCCTTCGCGGGTCTAATCTATACTATAGTCTAGTATTGGCACTCCTGTAACAGATCGTTTTGGAACCAACACACCGGTGAAAAAAAAAAAGAAAAAAAAAAAAAAACACTCTTTTCGCAGTTTCCAACCTTGGTCCAATAGCAAAGACGACTCATCGGAAATTTTTGACACCACACAAGGACACCTGATCATCCTGATAGGTTATATGTGATATCATAATTACATTTAATGTACACAGATTAGAATACTTCCTAATCGCATCAATGTGTTGTTTGTTTGTTTGTTTGTTGTTTTGTTTTTAGTTATATATAAAAAAAAAAAAGAGAACAAAATGAGAACTTCGTATTGGGGACGCCAAAATAAAACAGGTACAAAAAATGTGGGTAGCGGAAAATATGATACAGATCCATAAAAACAGAGAAAGATGCCTTCCAGAAATTAATCAAGGTGTAAAGAGATAGAGAAACATCGTTAGAAACAAAGAAAATATTGCTGAACTGTTATATAACATTCAATCTCTTATATGGTAGTGAATGCTGGACAATCTCTTCAAAGATGAAGAGGAGAATTGAAGTAACAGAGATGAGAATGCGATAGATAGAACGTGAGCAACGAGGGAGTTTTAAGGAGAATAGGTACTACTAATAATATGGTCAGATTTGGGGAAGTGTTTCCAGCTGAGAACATTTCATTAACTACAAAACAGAGAGACGGCAGATAGAGTTAAGAGGGAAGGTAGAAATGAGCGACGAGAGAGAGAGAGAGAGCGACGAGAGAGGGAGAGAGAGAGAGGGGGAGAGGCGACGAGAGAGGGAGAGAGAGGGCGAGAGAGAGAGAGAGAGAGAGAGAGGGGAGAGAGAGAGAGAGAGAGAGGGAGAGAGAGAGCGACGAGAGAGGGAGAGAGAGAGAGCGACGAGAGAGGGAGAGAGAGAGAGCGACGAGAGGGGGAGAGAGGGAGGGAGAGAGGGAGGGAGAGCGACGAGAGAGGGGGGGAGAGCGACGAGAGAGGGAGAGCGACGAGAGAGGGAGAGGACGAGAGGAGAGAGAGAGAGAGAGGAGAGAGAGGGAGAGCGACGAGAGAGGGGGAGAGAGACGAGAGAGGGGAGAGGGAGAGCGACGAGAGGGGGAGAGAGGGGAGAGCGGGGAGAGAGGGAGAGAGAGAGAGAGAGCGACGAGAGAGAGAGAGAGAGACGAGAGAGGGAGAGAGGAGAGCGAGAGAGAGGGAGAGAGCGACGAGAGAGGGAGAGCGACGAGAGAGGGAGAGAGCGATGAGAGAGGGAGAGAGCGACGAGAGAGGGGAGAGCGAGAGAGGGGAGAGGGAGAGAGAGAGAATGCGACGAGAGAGGGAGAGAGAGAGGGAGAGAGAGCGACGAGAGAGGGAGAGAGCGACGAGAGAGGGAGAGAGAGAGAGCGACGAGAGAGGGAGAGAGCGACGAGAGAGAGGCAAGAGACATGCATGTACACAACCAAAAAGAGACAGAAAGACAAGCAAAAGAAAAATTGCAAAACTATCAAAAATTCTAGAAAGTAAATAAAATCTACAAAACATTAAGTTTGAATGAGAAAGAAAGGTGAAATACTAAGAGAAAGATTAAAAGATAAAAAGAAACATTACTTTAATCACCACCCCACTTTACCCACTTGATAAGAAAAAAGACCACTCAAGTTATAAGGGGAGGTTATCCTGGTGAGAATGAGGGTTGTAGCTCTGAGCAAAATTGCAAAGAACATCATCAAGACCTTTCCTCTTAGAGTCCTGTCTCCAACTGCGATCACTAAAAAAGGTAAAGAAAACGTACTGAAGTCTGGGTAAAGAGATGCTGGAAGTTGGTGGGGTGTAAGACAAAATGACAGAGAAGGCTATTAATGGAGTCTGACATGATACCATAGCTGATGGCTTAGTCGGGAAGGCTTGAAAAATAAATACTATTAATTATCCATTAAATAAACAGTAGAACACACTGTACATCAATAACAGACTCAGTGATTTTACCATGATTTTTAGACTTCCAAATAAAACAATTTTCATGTCACTTTCTCAGCAGCAAAAGTGTTAATATTAGAATTGAAAAAAATAATGTTTATTACTAAAAGGTAAATACTTCCATTGTAAACATTTAGTTTACCAAAGTGTAACTTATTTCATTACTATACATTCAATAACATTTTATTAAGATACATTAACTAAATTAAAATATTTCCTTATAGCATTTTTTATGGTGTGTCCCTTTAGAACCTGAGCAATCATGGCTTCCACAACTTCCTATTTTTTGTAGCTCTAAATAATATTTGTCTTCTTACTATCCCTCCCAGTCCCTGTTCTACCATCAATTTATACAAGCTCTTTACATAGATTACTTACTGTTTCCCCTACATCTCTCTTGCCTTTAATATGCCCTAAGTGTCAAATTCTCCAAGCCTTCTTTCTTCATTATGTGTCCTAGACATTTTAACTTTCTCTTTCTGATAGTAAGTATATGCTCTTTTTGTTTCCATTTTCCTTACAACTTTCACATTACTCACATGCTCTATGCATGGAATTCTCAGCATTCTTCTGTAGAACCATAGGTCTACTCTTCATCTGTGACCTATTTTTAAAAAAAATGTTTATTTTCTGTGACAACCTTTTCCAACCCACAAACCTAATTTACGATTTTTTTTCCTGCCCTAAGTTCCGCTATTCATTTAATCAAAGTCACTAAATTTGTCATTCATTGTTTTCCTCTCTCTTGCCTTCAATCCATCCTGTGAGTACCAGATTTTCCAAGCCCTCTTTCTTCATTATCTGCTCTAGAAATTTCAACTGTCTCTTCCTGATGTTAAGTATAAGTTTCCTTTTTGTTTCCATTTTCTCCAAAACTTCACAATTTCTCACATATTCAGTCCATTTTATCATCAGCATTCTTTTGTAGATGTACATTCCTGTTGCTTCAGTTTCTTCTTTGTCTTTGATGAGATTACCCAGCATTCACTGCCATATAGAAGAACAGATATCCTGTAGCACTTCAGTACTCTTATTTGTTTGTAACAAAATTTTTCTGTTTCTTAATACTTTGCTTAGCTTCTGGAATGAAACTTCCGTCCTCTATTAAAACACTTCCCAGATATTAAAATTTTTGTACTTGTTTGATTTTGGTATCTCCATTTTGTAATTTGCATTCTAGGCTCATGCTTTTAATGGTAGTTTATTTAATTATATTGTTACTATAAATTAAATATGACTTATTTTAATAAAATATATTAAATAAAACTACATTATTTACATTATTCGGACTATTGTCAACATCTCTGTTGCCATATTTATCACAACGTTTCGGCCGTTGTACACTCCGGCCTTCTTCAGGTGATGGAATTTCAAACTGAACCCTTTATTTCACTCATGCATTCATGCCATGTTTTGATGGATGTCAGTTATCAGTTATCTCCTGCTAATTTCCCTCTGAAAGTTCTCCACTGCCTTAACTGGGTATTAAGCTCACACTCTTTGGGTCTTGTCACTGGATCTCACCAATGCCTTTATCCACTGTGCCATGTGTCCTTTAGGACATCTGGGTATGAATTTCTGGGTATTATAAACCTAATGCAACCATTTTTACCAGTGCTCATATTGCAATTTTGCTGTTATCATTCCATGTTTTTACCAGAGCTCATATTGCAACTTTTTGTTGTTATCATTGCTTTTCTCTGGCACTCCTTATTACTGGTTCCCATATTGTATTAATTCCTATGCTTGGTCGGCTCAGGAGATTTTTGTGGCCTAGCATATGTGCTGATTCCTTAAGTTTACGAATTATGATAAATATGGCGACAAAGTTGAGGACAATAGTCCGAATAATGTAAATAATGTACATAATACCTCATCTCAGAAATATAAACAGACTCTAAATAAAACTAGTTGTACCTGTGGAAATTCCACAGAGTTTTTATAATACTGATTTTTATATTAAATTATGAACGTAAATACTGTTTACTTGCCATCAAGGTCGACATCAGAAATAAGTTACTTATGCATATTCCTTTGCAATTTTAATTACACACATGAAAATACTTTTGACAGGGGATTTCTTAAACACCAGATAGATGATGTAAGGGGTCTGAAAAATAGAAATATTTTTGGATAAGTAAATCTAACAACCTTACACTTCTAAATATCCATTTTCGATATATATTCTATGAAGATACACTCATTTTATACTATACAGGTAAATGTTCTAATAAAATCAACTGGAACTGCTAATAAAATTTCAATTAGTCATGAATATGCATGTACATATAAGTTTTTTTTTTCAATATTATAGTTGATTCCAGGAAAAACATTCTCAACTAAAACAGCACATATTCATTTGGTACAAAAATAAATGTCACACCTGATAGTGGAACATTGTTTCAGATTGCAAGGGCAGATTTATCATTCTGCCAATCTTCATCAAGAAACAGACCAAAAGCTATATGGCACTCACTAGTAAATTAAATTCAAACAAATTTAAATATGATTCAACCAGATTTTGAAATGAATCAATTATAAATTAAATAAATTCAAATATGTTGTGGATATAGTGTTGTATATATTCTTGATGTTTATCAGAAACATAGGACATAAAACATCTGGAGTAAGTTATATAAGATATATAATATATTTTTATTTATTTGATTTAGAGTGAATCCTTTGATATTCGGTGTAGCAAACTGTTTGTTGATAAGGTGGATATTGGTAGCAGTCTGGAGAAATGTTTGTTTTATTTTGGTTCAGTAGTGGTAGTTTTCAGTCAAAAATTAGTAGGCTCTGGTCATTTCTTCTTTCTCTTTTTATTTGAGGGTCACCTTCTCATTAGTTGAGAGAAAAGTATATAAAGAGAAGTTTAAAGAAAGAAAGAGATAGGGTTTTTAAGAAAAGCACAAATACCTTATTTTAATTCAAATTCTTTTTATTTTTTGTCTATATATTTTATTTTTATCAGGGCTCACTACAATGTAACTACAATTTTAAAAAATAAATAAAAATCAAATTACAATTAATTTAAATATCAAATCTAGTAAAACCTTTAAAAAATAATTCTTTATGAAAAGTTTAAACATCAGTTTCGGTTTTCATCAGAATTGAAACAGTTTAATAAAAGTTTGATTAAAATAAGGGGCAAGATAAATGCTCAGCAAGGGTTACAGACTTTAAGACAGGATATTAGGTATATTTCAAATCTAGATTTATACAGAGGGTAGACTATTTGATATATTGCATGGCTAGGGTTCCCAAGTACCCTTTAAGTTCTGTCTTTATACAAATAAATTTTTTTTTAAAAAAGACCTTTTTTTTTTTTTTAAGGTACATTTGGAAAGTAGATACCATATTAAATAAAGCTTTTATTCACAAAATAACCCCAGATCTGTTTAATTTGTGTCCCTAAAAAGTGTGAAATCAGTAAATGGTCTATTTCTGTTGGGTACTTCAGGAGGTTAGCGGTTCGATTTATTTGCAATAGAAATTCATAGTAAATCAATCCCCAGGAAGTAGCCAACCTCTAAAATCAGTTTCTAACACTGCTACAGTACATATTTGATATATTTAATAGGAGTTCTTAGTATTCCATAAGACTTGACTTTATGTAAAGAAACCCTTAAGATTTTGATTTTTTAAGTTTGCACCAAAAATGTACACAATGTAGATCATATATGAAGATAGATTATGCCAAATTAAGGATGTAAAGAATGAAGCCAATGTTTAGATTAAATAAGTTAATAATAGGGCTTTGTTATTTAGATAATTAAATGAAACCCCTACGTTGGCATTTACTTGTTACCCCCTTTTTTATAATTTTTACAACTGCATAAGTTTTCCTTTTTTTACTTAATAAATTCGCATCAAAGGCTTTTGGCAAAAGATACACAATTGGTATCTGATCGGTGTATAAACTAGTATAAGGTATATATAAGCTAAAAAGAGTATATCACACATAAACACATTTGTATTTGGATAAAATCACAGATAGAGAATGAAAGAAAATCTGCACTCACAACTCTCCCACATACACTTGACAAGTGAGAGTCATGGAAAAACACCCCCCCAGACAAATGAACAGACAATTAGGGAGCAAGGTAACGAAGAACTAAAATAAAACCTTAAAAAAGAAGCAAAGAAAAAATACCAAAAGTGGTTTGTCCTGTCCTCTCTGAACTGACCAAGCAGAAGAACTTCAAAGTATCTTAACAAACAACTCAAAGTGTTCTAATGAAGCCAGACCAAACATGCAAACGCACACATCACTGATTTCCTTGTAAGAAGAAAACAAGAGAGAGAGAAAGAAAGAAAAAGATAAGGAAAACGTTTTTTAAAGAGGGAGAGAAAAAAAACAAATAATAGAGGGAGTTGAAAAAGATCAACGAGAAAAATGAAAAGGAGGGAAAAAAAAGAAAAGGATAAATAAAAGTGGGGGGGGGTCAGCAAGAAGAGAAAGGAAGTGGGAGAAATATTGAAAGATAGGGTTTGAGAGAACGTGCTTCCTGAAGTACCATGGCACACAACTAAATAAGAATAAAAACAAGTAAGAAGCAAAAAGGAGGAGAGGGTTGAAACGACAATACAAAAAGCAAGCCGACATTCTGCAGGTGTATATGTACACTTCGGCCAGTGCCCATATCGCCCCAAGCAACAATACCATCATCACCGCACCACCCTCTTAAAAATAGGAAAAAAAAAAAAAAAAGACAGACAAGAGTGAACAAGCACAAACCAGACCTAAGCCGAGGGGACAGGGTTGAACCCTTGTTTGTTAACTTCGCCTTACTCTCAAAAATCTTTAACATGGTTTGTTTTTTGTTGTTGTTTTTTTTTTGTTTAACTTTGTATTTTAAAACATAAGTTTAATTTGTCCCTCTTTCCAAATGATGTTGTGGTCTTTACCTCCTTTGGCACTCCCTAAGTGGTGAAACACCCAGAAGTGAACAGATACCTGGATATAAGAGCTGAGGGAGTTAAAGAAGTATTAACTGAGCTGAATTCCCAAGAGGGTGGGGAGAAAAAGGAGTTTCAGACCAGTCAAAATTTTGAAGATCAAGAATTGTTTGCTTCTTAAGGTGTCTTTGCTTTTAAAAACAAAATAAAAATAAAAGTTTTCATTTTGGAAAAGCAAGAGAGAGATAAGTTGGTAGGGATGAAAGAAAGAATGATGCAAATGAAATAGGAAAAAAAGAAACAAAGAAGAAAAAATAAGAGCATCTGATAGAACTGAAGAACACAGAGTTTAATCACCTTATAAAAAAATATATAAATAAATAAAATATATATATATATATATATATATATATATATACATACATACATACATACATACATAAAAAATACATATATATATATATATATAAAATATATATAAAAAATAGATTAATGAATAAAAAAAATAGATTAATGAATAAAAAAAAATAGATTAATAAATAAAAAAAGTAAAAATGAATAAAAAAAGTAAAAATGAATAAAAAATAAAAATAAATAAATAGTACGACAAATAATAATATTAAAAATAACAACTCCAAGGAAGCCTTAATATTTGTTGCCCAATATCTTCTTGAATAGGTCACATTTCATTTGGCCCGAATTTATAAAAACTTTTGTTTTTTGTTTGATATTTAGAAAGGCTTTATATTGTGATCTTGATTATTATAGATATTATTATAGACACAATGTTTTGGAATCCTCAGTATCCTCTGGCAATCTTCAGATGTCCATTATTTTGAAATTATGCATTGCCAATATACTTTGACTTATTTAATTTATTCAAACTATTGTTCTCATTTTTGTTTGTTGTAGATGTTATTATAAGCACAACATTCTAACTAAAGTATCCTCTGGCCATCTTCAGATATCCATTTTTGGTTGATAGAGGATATCTTGTATTAACTGACTGAGTTATTTCTGTCTCTATAATATTGTTTCTTGTGAAATCCTGTCAAAATAGCATATATAAATTTCATAAGCTGCTCCAGATTGAACTCACATCCACAAGTTGACTGCAAGGGCTAATCAGTATCCACAAGCCCACCATTCTAAACTACATCAATGGTGTAATTTTGGAGCCTCTGTCATTTTGGCTTTCACAGCAGGTTTGTATACCTTTTGAAAAGTTTTATTTGACTTTTTTTCTTTTTTTTTTTTAATGATCAAGTTGTGATGAAATCCATATAACTTGGTTCAAGTTGTTTACATTTTTTTATGTTTGGGTTTAATAAATAAAAAATAAAAAAACAACAACATTTTAGTGTAACTAAACTAGTACAATTGGTAGAATTCTTCAATAAAGTTTAAAATAATGTATTTCGGAAATTTTTTTTTTTTTTTATTAATTTTACTTTCTTATTTTTTTAAATAGTTTAAACCAAACTGATTATAGTTCCGGGGTTCCCAACCTTTATGCATTATCACCCACTTTTACATGAAAAATATTTCCACTACACACTTGTATAATAAATATTTAAGTTTGTTAGTGGTTCGTAAACTGACTTTATGATATAGTAAAAAAAAACATAAAAGGGAGGTAAAAAATAATGCTATTAAAGAACAAACAAAAGGAAACATGACCTTTGAAAACAATATAAAAAATGACAAAATATTCCTTATTTGTGGGAATATTTATATCTTAACTAGGATGTGAGCCATTTATTCTCATTTAGCTTCCTGCTTTTTGGTATTATATATATATATATATATATATATATATATATATATACACACACACACACACATTCTTTGCATATCTCCTTTGAATATTTGTTTTTGCGGTATGTTGAAGTACATTTTTAATACTGAAAGTCCTATATTGCCTGCCATTTTCTGTTCAGTTGCTCATCGCCCACAGGTGAGCGATATCACCCAGGTTGAGAAACCCTGGTATAGTTGATTATGAACAGGAATATTTCTTAATTCATTTAAAACTTAATACATTTATGTAAGTGAACAATATATTACTTAATATTGTTAATAAAACAAATTAATTCAGTTTCCTTAATTTAAATTATGATAGTTTACAGTGAAACATGCTCCTAGTTTGACAGCTTTAGTGAAGAGGATATTCAACTGGCAAAATGGAGTTAAAATGTTAAAAGAATCTAAAGTAAATAAAAATCAATTTAACCTTCACAATTAAAAAAAAAAAACAAAAAAAAAAAAAAAAAAAAACACAGTAGTTTTCATTTTTAAGCATGCCAATAACAATATGGTTAACACATTGAAGAAAACCATCCAAGAATTGTCTTTTACAAACAAGGAAATGAGAAAGAATAGTTTCATTTCTTATCAGCATTCACATGTGACAAAAAAGGTAAATAAATCAATTCTTAAGACTTACCTCTTCTAGGGCTTTCATGGTTAAACAAAATGCCATTGCAAGCAAACATACCATAGGCTTCACGATAATTAATGACAATCCAGTAAGCATATAATTTGGCAACACCTGCAACAAGTGAAATGAAAAATGTCAAACTTTTGACGAAAAACAATTTTTAAAAAGATTTAATCCTTGATAATTACAAACTTTAATTTATTTTATACAAGTTAATCAAGTTTAAAAGAATATGATTTTTACAGGAATTAAATTCAGTTTAAAAAAAAACAAAAAAAAAAACAAGAAGTGTTCAATAAGTTTATTTACATTGATACTTAACAGCAACAATAACTATTACTATTATAAAAGATGAGATAGGTGGGGAAAGAAGCAAATGAGAAAAAAGTCAGATACGCAGCACTGCAACAACAGGCTGGCCAAGGGACACTGTGCCAGAACAACAAAGAGATCAAAGGCAAAAGGTCTTAAAAATAAAAAAGAAAAAAAGATCAAAGACAGAAAAACAACAAAAAAACAAAAAGGCAAAAAATAATATACAAAAACAACCAAAGTTTGAATTCCAACAGTAAATTTTTTTTTATTCTGTTAACCTTTATTCATTCACAGCCCCTTGTGAAGGACGCTTTAGTCTGCCATGATTAAATCAAGTAATCATTATTTAATAAGAGTATTTATCATTTATTAAGAATTTTGCAAGCTATACACTTTACCTTTTAAGCTTGCCTTTGCTTTAAATATTTTGCAAAAAAATTTCAACAGAAGATAGTAAAGTAATACATCATCAACATTTTTAATTATCAATATTACATCATTATATCTTTGTACACAAAACAGAAAAGAAATTTTGTCATTTGCTTACTTAGGACAGAAACTTTCTTAAGCAAGCATTAAACCTGGTCTGAATATCACTTACAGCAATGTTCATTTTTCTACCACAAAATATAGCAAACTTCAAACTATATACAGGATGTGGCATAAATACCTCCCACATAATGGTAAGAAATTAGCTAGATGAAGACACCATTGGCACTAGTGTCATAACATTATGTGGGAGGTATTTCTGCTACATCCTGTATATTACTATAAACATATTTAGTGGGTATATGTGTTAGAGTATACATCCCTGTTTATTTGGGTGTTTTTTGTGTGTGTTTTAACATGCTATTGATACCAGTCTGTAGACAGACTTCCAAAACTCAAAATGATTGAAGCCTTGCAGCTGATAGCTCTTTTGATCTAGCTAGCTATAACAGCTCAATGGGGAAATAAGCTTATAACTTTAAATGCCTCAAAATCCAAGCTACTATCATTTCATAATCATCATTCAGACAGGCACTCTCAATGAGGGTCCATGCTTGGATGTTTCTTGGGTTTCACGTTCACTCCAAACCTCAATTTAAATTCACATATACAGGATACGATGGATAAATTGTTGTCTCAATTAGACAAAAATGAAAATAACATTGACATTTCATTTTAATAGAGATATTTAACAAACACAAAAAAATATCTTTAAATACAAAAGGGTAACTTCATTCAATAAAAATTGCCATTGGCTTCAACCATGGCCTCCAGACAACTTCAGAATCTCCTGCAACTCTTCTGGACAGTCTCCTTTTTTAAGTTGGTGAATGCTGCCATAATCTTTGCCTTCAGTTCATCTTTGGTATTACTAAGAGTTTTGTTAGTCTCGTACTTAACTGCACCCCCACACATAATAATCAAGGAGGTTGCAGTTTGGGGAGTTAGGTGGCCAGATGTCAGGAGTGATGTGGTTGCAGAAATTGTCTGACAGCCATGACTGGGTTCTCCTGCTTGTGTGGCATGGTGCATAATCCTGTTGCCAAACATATGGTATTCCAGCAGCCACCCTCTTGACCTCTTCAAGGCACTTGATGTAGGCCTACATATTGAGTCTGAGGCCCTGTGGGAAGATGAATGGAAGCCTAATGTCGCCATCACTCATGATCACTTCAAACAGCATGATGTTGACTGGATATATAATCCAACTCTTTCCAAATCCTCTACAATGTCCTCAGGTTGACACCCAAACACTCTGAAATGTTTGTATTGGAGCTTCTGGGATGAATTTCAAGCAATACAGAATGCGGTTTTCAAATTTCTGGTAGAGTGAATTGAATTATGGTGCTCGTTTTCTCACAGATGGTGCCCAACTGACCCTACTATACTGTTCACTTGTCAAAATCGAAAACAACAATATGCATGCAGGAAATTAAAAATATGAAATGGCAACAATTTACTGATCACACACTGTACTGTGACCTGTTTAATGATGCCCAGGGCCAACTCAATTGTATGCCCCAAAGACTAAAGTGGAGGGGGGGGGGCTATAGGACCTAATACTGAGAAATGTGAAAAAGGAAGACATTTTAAATATGTAAAAACAAATAAAACATGAAATAAATACTCTATTCAAATTAAATGTAAACTAAATTTCTATTTCACTCTTTGATTGGATGCCCTTCCAATATAGATGTCCATTACACCTTCTACCCCACCCACTTCTGCATACTATTACATAAATATGATCTATTGCTAAATATGTTGGAAATATGGTTGACTCATTCTATCACACCCAAAAGTACCCAACTACTCTCTGTCATGCTTTATCTTTACAACAGCCGGATGAAACCAAAAATGGAGTATTTCTGCCATGGCTGGAGCTTCCCAATCCCCAGCCTTAATAGAGTTCAGAACCATTTACACAGTTTTGTGGTGGGGGATGACTTATGCTCCATTCTGCAGCCTCTTTTCAACAATTGCAATATCACAAAACTCACTACTCTTTTGCTATTTCCATTGCAAATGTTCAGATGAGGACCATTCTTTAGTTCTACTAGTTCAGATCTTTACAGCTAGAACTCTCCATGCGATGAAATCATGCTCTCTCTCTCTATATATATATATATATATATATATATATATATATATAATGGTAACAAGAGCAAACAAAGCAAAATAATAGCAGTATTCATAAATTAAAATTTTAGAACTCACCATATGGTGAACGAGGATAGAATGGTGTGGTCTCCTTCTGTGGGATTTCTTGGACTTTTCCATATAATTCACTAGTTGATGCCTGATAGAATTTCACTTTGTCTGTCAGTCCACATGTACGAACAGCATCAAGTAAACGAAGAGTTCCAATGCCATCTACATTTGCTGTGTACTCTCCCAGATCAAATGACACCTGAAAGAAGAAAATTTATAATCATTTTAAAACATTTGTAAGATGAGATTATATATTATACACAAACACACAATCAGATTCTTGGGAGATATATTTTTGTATCATTTCTTTGTAGGGGGATATTTTGGGGAATCTTGTATGCCTTTAGGTGGTCTCAGTGGGAAGTTGTTATTAATATCAATATCTGTATCTAATTTGACATGTACAAAATTGAATTTTTTTTTTTTTTTTTTACTTTTTCCATGATAATTATTTTGTACTCATTTAGTGACAGAGCGAGAGAGTATGGAAAACACACACACACGTGCACATATGTATATTTTTTTTTTTAGTGAAATTGGAGTAGATTTGAATAGTGAAATTAAATCAGAGCATTTTGTTTACTGATGGGGAAATCTGATCTAGGGCAGAAGTTGTACCCATTGAATCTGGATCATCAGAGAACAATGCAAATGGTTGAAATAATTTTTATCAATTAAAAATTGAAATAGAGCTGAGTAAGCTAGAACTTTGGAATTCACATGATTTTGGTTGAAGCAGCCAGAACCCCATGATAATCACATGCAAAGTAGTAGGGCCGAGGGTCAGTTATAACCAGCCGGGTTTATCTATATATCATAGTTATGCAAAAAAAGACAGATGGGAGAAAATTCTTGAAGAGAGAAGAGAGAATTGACCTGGGCGAGTGTTGGGAGGAGGAATGCCACTATAACTTTAAGCCCCGCACAGAAATCTTTATCCCTCCATTGCAAGAGTCATATATCGTTCTGAGACAATTTAACAACAAGATAATCACCTACACTCTCTCTGTGTCTAGAATCCAGTGTATGAGTTTGTTTTTGTTTTTACTTTTCTTTAACCCGTTTCTCTTTACTATTCTTTTCTGCTATATAAAAGACATTACCAATTCAACCACTGAATCGATGTTTGTCCGGCTTTCTGCAGATATTAATTTTTTTTTTTTTTTTTTGCTACATTCTAAATTTCTTAGCGCAGACTCCCCAGCCATGTCTACATCTCCAGTCGACCGTGAATGGACGGACATCACTTCTGCTTTCTGGATCAAACAAATCACAATGTGAGCAGGAAGCAGGATTAAACCAGCAAACCGGTCGATTAATCTACGGATGCTCAGGGGACCTATGGCCACTCCTTTAAGTTCGGTTAGGACCGAGTAGACACCTCAACCCTGAGAGTCAGACACTGGAGGTTGAGGGGTCAGGGTGAAAGTGTTAGAATTTCAAAAATTGCCAAGATGCACATAGGATTCAAATTGCATGAAATAACTAATTTCTAGACATAAAATTAGCGTGAAGAAACAACAAAACATTTGACCCAAGTTACAAAAACGCTATCAACACTTTCACTATTGTGGACATACTTACACATCTATATGAAACTTACATGGACCGCTGTTGACATATGCCGTATACACTAGTTTATAAGCTGATTTCATGTATAGTGCAACCCCTGAAAAGTTTACATGAATTTTAACCCCTCCAGAAAAAAAATCTACTTATGTTTGGTACAATTGGTCACTGAAAATGCATGATTTTTAACCTCTTCAAAAAAATTAACTTTGTATAGTGGGACCCTCTATTTTTAGTGTAAAAACTGATCATAAAAAACTCACACTAAGTATATACATTTCATCAGTATCTAACATTTGTGAGGCTTACGTCCATTTGACATTTAAACACTGGTTCTTGTATGATCATTGAAGTTAAGCAATGTCGAGCCTGGTCATTACCTAGATGGGTGACCACTTGGGAATACCAGGTACTGTAAGTTTGGATATGCAGGATATGGTGGAATGGATAATGGGTTCGAATTGGAAATTGAAGGGCTGAGTTTCAATTCCAGATGGATTCATTATATTTATTTATGTGCTAAATCCCTTGAGGAAGGTATGAATGCACCTATTCTCCCCAGTCCCAACTATGAGTTAATTAGTAAGAGATATACCATTAAATTATTATCTCCCCAAAATTCTTAGAATCTTAGAATATTTTCTGGCTTTAAATAACCTGAAAAAGTTTAATAAGCTGTTAAAAGAAAAAAAAACAAAACAAAAAAACAAACCCAAATCAATCTAGCATTTGTACTATTTCCAAACAAACATAAACAGAGTACAACCTATTTTATGACAGATTTTTATTATATTGTGCCTTGAGGGTGTTGTTTAGCTTTTGACTGTACTGCTGAGTATCACCCATAAGAAATTACTGTCAGTGTCTTTATCGTCATTTATTTCTAGTAAATGGTAATTTTTTTAAATTTTCCAAAAACTGGCCAACACAGCCAGGCAACAATGCATCAGTGAAAGTGTTCAAATACTTCCTTAAAAACTTTAACAATCTAGAAAATATGTAGGTGATTATGGCTCTCCACTGATTCCTTTTCTTTATTATCTGTGAATTAAAAATAAATAGGAAATATAAGTGGAGGGTATTCCTTCTAGAGTGGTTGCTAATCAAGGCTAGAGAAACAAGTCTATACTGTTATTTAATCCATAGTGGCAAGGAGAGAGTAGAGCTGTGAAAGCGAACACCACTGGTGAGGCTGGAATTTGAATTTGATTCACCAATTCCATTTTGTGCGAAGGTAACCTTTCTGTTTATCATCCTTGTTTACAGGATTTTCAGGTTTTAAGTTTTAAACACCAAATATGCAGAAAAATGATTAATAATTTTATTTACATCATTTATATTCAAACTATTGTCCTCCTCTTGGTTAATACTATCACAATATTTTGGCCATTTTGCTTTCTTCGGGTGCTTATCAAAGGTTACTCAGATTGTTATAACAACAACAAACATGAGGACAATAGCCCATACATAAATAATGCAAATGAGGTTGGGGCACTTCTTTGAGTCAGTGTGTCTTTAAATACAAAGTATTTTTATTTTAAGTATTATGTAATAAACAACAAGGATTATTTACAAAAATTAACAACTGGGATGATTATCAGATGTTTTCCGATCCCCCCACCTCTTTGCTGCAGTGTGAAGAGGCAGCCTTGGGCAATTGTTCCCCAGGATCAGGCACCTCACAGTATTATTTTTTTCCCTCAGTTGCATTTCTGTCCACAGACAAGAGATGCAACAGAGTCACACCCTCCCTTAAAGCCAGATATACAGCTGAGAGATGATAAACCCTACCCAGTGCCAGATACCTAGTAGACTAATGTTGACCTAGATGCCAGTATTTTACCCTATAATATCATTAAATTTAAATAATTGAGGTGGGGCTTATCTGCCATCAAATATAAAAGCTATTCAGTAAAAGTTTAACATCAAGTAGCAATTATAAGAATCTAGTGAGAACTGAACTCAATCATAGTCGCCACTAGAACGAGCTTACAAACATCACAATGATGGTAAAGCACACTTCAATCCGCAATCTTTAGAATTCAATATAAAAATTTTGTCATATTTATGAGTCTTTAGTTCAATTCCACAAAACATTAATGAGAACTATATTTCAAGATCAAATGGAAGGAGAATCGATGCATTGAGAATACTTTTAATTGTAAAAATCCTTTTAAGTAATATTAATTTCTACTTGTGTGTTTATTTCCCTAAAATGTCTCACTTTTAAAGCAGAAATATTTGGAAATACAAACAATGGAGTGGATTACAAGTCCATGCCTGATCCATGCAATTTTAGCAGGCAAAGAAATAAACATGGAAACTGAATTGTATTTTGAAAATAAAGTCTTATCATGAAGTACATAGCAAAATGCTAAACATGAAAACACAATTTAATATTTCATTTCTTTTTCGTTTGCCTGCTAAAAACAAAGAGTACTCCTGAGAATAAAATCTTTCAGTTTCCACTTCAGATTCTACTGCAGAAGGTCAAGTGGGTGAAAAATTTGTGTTGTAAAAATATTCAACTCATCAACAAAAAAAAAAGGAAAGGAAAAAGAAAATATAAATCAATTTTTTTATATTACAGTAATTGTTGTTTATTTTCTTTTTAGTCTAGTTGTTTTCAGACATCAGGAAATAGACTGCATACAGGACGATTTTTTAATGACTTCAACTTGGATGGTTACATCTGGCTGCTACTTGTATTATTACTCAGACTGTCTGCCTACTCAATATATTTATCCTTTTGTTAATAGCTTATATGCGGACATCATAGACACAAAATGAGCATGAATATTTACAGATAACGACAGCTATTAGGGAGATGTGATTAAATATACTTTAATATTTTAAAAAATTTATTCAGTATTATTATTGTTTAGGTAATAAGCATTAAAACAGCACAAATAGCTATATTGTGGAAAAAGGAATTTTTAACAATGTACACATTTTTGACATATTTATGGTTATTTTTAACTTTTATCAAACATGACATTCTTGTACGTGTAGTTATGGATAATATTATACATTAATTACTAATGTTTTAATTAATAACTATTTGTTCTCACTTGTTGACATTAATAGCTATCTGCTGATGTGTTAAAATTTTGGAATAAAGCAATAAAAAAAATTTAAATTTCATCTCTTTGAAAGATGTTGCAATCTGTTAACAGAAAAATGCTTGATTCACTTCTAACGTGTGTTACTTGAAGAGTATAAAATTTCTAATAACTACATATTTAAAGCCTAAAACTTTGCAAATTACTTACTTGAAATGTGTAAATTACTTACTTGAAATGTGTAAATTATATCTTTCTTCATAAATAAGTTAAATTTTATTTTGTATTCAGTCAGAATCATAATAATTTTCAATAAAAAGACATTTCATCTGAAACTGATTAATTAACAGAATATGTTCTGTGTTTGCTATAATATGAATCAGTTTAATTTTGAACAAAGTTTTAATTTATACACACTTTTAAAAAGATTTCTTCACAAACACTACACAACCATTTCAAAATAAAATTAGAGACAATTTTTTTTCTTTCTCAGTTCTTCATTTGTGAAAATTGAGTTTAAAATCAAGCTATAATAATATAAAATAAGAAATGGAAGAATTTTATTTTTAGTATTACTTCAGCATTACATTTCATTTCAGTACAAAACAAACACACAATTTGTTTTCATTATGAGTCTTATTCTTCACAGGTAAACAAATATTGCAAATAAATAAAATACAATCATTGCACAACTTTTATTCAATTGGTTGTTTTTGGTAGAAACCTGATAAAAATCTTCATTAAGGTATTTCTATTGGTTTTGAATTCAGTGTTTCAAATGTAGAAAATTAAAATCATTACTTTATAAAAGCTTGAGAGGCCCTAGACTGCAGCCTAAAGCATAATCTGGCCCTGCATGTAAGATAGGAAAATGTTTTGCTCAGCTGTGCATTCAAAAAGTCTTCTCTAAACATTGTGGCATGTCAGTGACTAGACATTCTGTCATATACATAATGATGAAACAGACACAAGCAAAAAAAAAAAAAAATTCATACATTTCTCAGTCTTGACCAGAAGTTGAACATTATTCACCAGTTTTGCTCCAATGCAGTCAACTCCCCAACCCTACACACAAAAAATCCCCACCACAGTTGTCTCAGTAATTAATACAAGATTTCAACAAATTCTACATTATCCAGATGCACATGCAGGTGTCTAAGTTGTTAATATCAAGATGTAGAGTCAGACAAATAGACAACTTTAAAAGTTAGTGATAAATAAGTGGGGGTGGAGGGAATAACGGTCTTCACAGACCAAACCAAAAATATGAGGTAGACACACACACAAACACACACAAAATAAATAAATAACTCCAGTACAACTTTAAGGTGTCGGCACTAATTGAAAGGGGATTGAACATTGGGTGTTTTCAGGAGACAAAGCAAAGAAATTGAAATATTAATCATTTTCCCAATTAAAAACCAATTGTATCTTTCCGGAAATTGATGCTGATGGAAGAGAAAACCTTTGTTAATAAATAGAAATAACTTTTTTTTTTCTTCATTGACAGGTGAACTAGGTTCTCACCTGACTTTTGTACACACCTGGTAACCCGGGAATAGAAAGAAAGAAAAAAAAAGAAAAAGAAATTTCCCAAATGCATTCCCTCAAGTGAACACTATATCAAACATCATTCCATATTTAATGTTCTTGTTGATAGTTGTCAATCCACCTGTGCCTCCACATAAAAAATAAAAATAAGATTTTATCTAGATATACTGCATCTAAATTTATGAGGAGAGAGCAGATTTAAATAAAAGACAGATATTTAAGGTTTTTATGCCAAAAAACTATATTAACAATAGAAAAATGTATATGAATTTATTTTCTTAATTTACAATACATTTCTATAGTAAAATTACTTACAATGCACTTTTATATTAAAATCATTAGCAAGACATTTACATTATGAGGGTGGATCAATAAATCTGTAACCTGATAGTTATCAGCTAAAATTTTATCTGAAATGTCTGCTGTATAATATTCACTGTGTTATTAGCATTCACTAATTAACTCAATTTACTGACGAGGAAAAAGATTATGTTGAAAACAAATATTCGTTGTGTAAAATAAATACATTTTTTATCATTAGGCTACAGAGAGATACGCACACATGGTAAAAATGAATAAATAAATATGTAAATAAAGATAGTAGTACAGGTGATGGTTTTTACACCCCCCCACCCCCAACCTGTACAAATGTACTTGTTAGAATGATATACAGTGTGCAATCGGTTACTTGACACCAATTTATATTTTTAATTTCATGCATGTGCATTGTTTGTTGTTGTTGACTGCACAGTATAGTAGGGTTAGTTGAGCACCAACTGTGAGAAAAAGAACACCATGACGCAAT